ATTTTAATCAGGTAACAATGTCTTCTTCAATTTGTGATTTACAAAAATAGATTTCTAACTTGAATGACAATATTGCAGGTTATGAATCAACACAGATCAACAATATGAAGGTTATTCAGAAGCTGTTATTGGAGAAAACTTATCTCTAGGAATATTTTGTTGTTCAGAAAAGAAAGTAAAAGATTTAGAGAAAGAAAATAACGTGTTGGAAAAAGAGAATCTTGATCTAAAGAAAAAACTTCTTATTTTGAAAAAAGTTCTGAAAGAAAACAACTGATTTAGAAAAATCTTTGTTTGATGAGAAAAGTGTTTCAGAGAAAAAAAATTCATTCTAAAGAAAAAGATATATGATAGTGAGAAGGATTTTGAGAAAGAAAGAAAGGTTTTTATAGATAAGAAAAACAGTTTTGATGTTGAAAGAAAAGATTTTGAAAGCAAAATTAAATCGTGTGAGATGACAACTATAAAGCTTTCAAAATAGATGTCTAAATTTGAAAAGATTGTTCTGATTGAAAGAAATAAGTTTGAGAAGGAAAAAGAAGAATTTGAGGTTGAAAGAACAGTTTTTAAGACAAAGAATCTTGAACTCTCAAAGCAGATACTTGTTGCAAGAAATACTTTTGAGAATAACAAGAAATCTACTCATAAAAAGAGTATTGAAATTTTTAAAGAAATTTCTTATAAGAGGAAGAATTTGGAAAAAGATTTTGAATATGAGAGAAAAATGTTTGAAAAATGAAACTTTCAAAAAATTATCTTTGTTAGAAACATATCTTGTAGCTGAGCAGAATATAAGATATGGTTTTTTAAAGAATTATGATTTGATCTTTAGAGAAAGGAATGCTTTAATGCTTTAAGCTGACAAAGTTAAAGAACTTGGGGATGTGATTTTCAAAACTAAATAGATTATAAAAGAGAATTCAGCAAAGGTTGACATCTCTAAACAGCTTAGTCCCGACACTATTGTTCTTTCACCTTAAATGATTCAATTGATACTGATTCTGTTTTCTCTTATAGAACTGCTTCAAGTTCAATTCATAACATTGTTCCTTTCTCTCCAAGCAATATTTGTAAGAATAATTATTCTTCAAATGTCAAATCGAACTGTTATTCTAATAGATCTCCAATTCATATATTTTTTCAAGATATCAGACTCATAATTCTAATATGTTCCACAATGATTCTGTTGTTGGTTAGATAATCATTCCAAAAAGTTGAAGATCGTTTGGGGGAAGAAATCAACTACATATGACTGTGCTGGAAACAAGTCACATAAATCTCATGCAGTTGATACAAAGTCATGTGTTTCTAGGACTGATTTGCCTTGTTTTGTCAGGTCTATCAATAAGCTAATCAGTCTGAGACAAGAGAAACTGCGTTGTTCAACATGTGGAACAAATGATTTTGTAAATTAGAGGTATGTGAATAGATGGTATGGTACATACAATATCCCTGATTCCTAAATGAATTGTTTAAAAGCTAACCTCGGAGGACCCAATAAAGCTTGGGAACCAAAATCTTTCTAATATGTTTTGCAGGAAAGTCATGTGCATTCTTATCAGAGTATTCACATCACATGTCTGTACATTCAAAGGGTTGTACTCTTTTGAGGGGGAGTACCATGTAATATGTAAGTAGGCGAATATTGATTTTCAAAGAACCATGGTAGTTCAATCTGAGAAACTTCCTTGTGTTTGTTTCTTTTCTGATTTGAAATCAATCCTTGAATTGTCATGTGTCAAATTTTTTTGAATTTGTCATTTCCACGTCTCATATGTTCGTTGAAATTTTCGATGGAAATACACTCGTTTGAAATCTTAATTGTTTTCATTGTGTATCTTTTCACATTAATGATTAAATTCATATCTAAAAAAATTAATTGTGACTTTTTTTCACAATTAAACATTCTAAACATTGAATATTTGTTTGTAAACATCATGCTTACTGAGTCATTATGTTTAGTGTTTGAATTTATTTATTGACTCTTCTAATTATGAAAGTATCTGTTTAGAACTCGATTTTCATGTCTAGACTTCTAGATAAATCAGTCTAGAACTCGTATTTCAGTGTTTTGATTTTTGAATATATCAATTCAGGACTCGTACCCAGATATTGATTTCTGAAAATTTTCAAAGTATAATATATTTGAATTTTTAGGATGTATTTCATAAAATCAATGTATGAGATTAAATGTGCTTCAATGAGCTACCAGAACTGGTAGTTCTACCCAAGAAGTAATCCTTGAGTAATTGAGAGGTGAGGGGTCTTAAATAAAAGAGTGGAAGAGATAACTCATATGGTTGAGAAATCTCTTTGTGCTGAGTGGAAAAATGTAAATAAGAGTTTAGTTACAAGTAAGTGAAAGTGTACCAAAGGAGCAAGTGAAAGTGGTTTTATCTTGATCCTCAAGTGCAATAGCAATCTAAATGTAGCCTAAATAACCATCTAAAAAGAAATAGTATTCTTTCTCAGTCAATCTATCCAACATTTGATCTATGAAAGGTAAGGGAAAATGGTCTTTATGGGTTGCTTTGTTAAGCTTCTATAATCCATGCATATTCTCCATCTTGACACTATCCTAGTTGGGACTAGTTCATTCTTCTCATTTTCTATTACAGTCACACTTCCTTTCTTAGGCACACATTGGGCAGGACTTACCCAAGAGCTACTAGCTATAGGATAAATAATGCAAGCATCAAACCATTTCAAAATCTCTTTTTTAACCACTTCTTTCATCATAGGATTCAATCTATTTTGAGGTTCAATAGAGGTAAAGTCCTTGTCTTCTAAAAATGATTTTGTGTTGACAAATAGATGGACTTATACCCTTCAAATCATAGATGGTCCAACCTATGGCTTTGGTATGGGATGGAAGCATTTTTACTAGATGTTCTTCCTGTTTTTCTTCTAATGATGATGAAATGATCACATGTAGCTTGTTATCTTCTCTCAAAAAATGCATACTTAAAGTGGGAAGGTAGTTCTTCAATTCTAAGTCTAGTGGGGATTCTAAGGATGGCAATGGGTTCTGTTTGGGTTTATCTTCTAACAGCTTATATACTGCAGCTTGCTGAAATATCTCATCACTACCCTCTAAATCACTATCCTCTTCACCACTATCTTCAAATGATTCTATCTTTTCACCTAGGATTTCTGCTAAAGCTTCCTCATGACACCATGAATCTATAGCACCAACCACAGAACAGTCCTCTTTTTCCTCCAGATATTTTATTGAGTTAAAAACATTGAAAGTGACATTTTGGTCCTACACTCTCATGGTCAACTCTCCTTTTTGAACATCAATGAGGGTTCTATCAATGGCTAGAAAATCTATTCCTAACAGAATAGAGGTGTCTTTATTTGCCTCAAAGTCATGGATTATAAAATCAGGAGGGAATATGAACTTGTCCACTTGTACTAACATGTCATATATCTTTCCTTTGGAAAACTATGGATTTATCAGCCAATTGTAAGGTAAGAGTGGTTGTCCTAGCCTCTCCTATGCCTAAGGTATTGAACACAGATAAGGGCATAAGATTGATGCTAGCACCTAAATCACATAGGGCTTTTCCAACATGTTTCCCACTTATTGAACAAGGAATTGTGAAACTTCCAGGGTCTTTAAGCTTAGGGGGAAGTTTGTTTGACAAAAGGGCACTACATCCTTCAGTAAGGGCCCTAGTATCATATCAAGTCAATTTCTTTTTCTTACTCAAGATATATTTCAGAAATTGACATAACTAGGCATAGTCTCAATTGCCTCCACCAATGGAATATTGATGTGCAATTGTTTGAATACATCCAAAAACTTTTTGAACTGAACTTCCTCCTTTTGGTTTCTTAACCTCTGTGGGTAAGAAACATAAGGTGGAACTGGGTTAATCACCGGCTTCTTAGGATTTTGGACAGTAGGCATGGTAGGTGCACTATCTACTGGTTTGGATGGTGGTATATCAACATGGTCTTTGGGCGGTGGACCTTTGACAACACTATCTGGACTTGGCTTTGTGGTTGTTGGTTCTATTTCACTAGGAAAAATAAATGGAAAATCTTATCTGCTTGGCATGGGTGCAGATTCTTGGTTTATTGTAGGTTTAAAAACAACAAGAAGGGTTGTTGCAGCAACAAGTGGTATTTTTGTAGCAATTGGTTTAGCTTCTATAATGGCTTTTTGTGGAATTTCTACTAGATCTTTTCCACTTCTTAAGGTCACAACTTTCACATGCTCTTTGGTCAGTATCTTAGGGATCTCAGTATCACTGGGTAAAGTTCCAACAGGTCTGTTCCTCAACTTTAGTGCTATTTGACCAATCTGTGTTTCCAAAGTCCAAATGCTAGCATTTTGATGATTCATTGCTGAGTTGATTTGATTTATAAAACCTTTCAGCAATGTTTCCAAAGAATTGGATGAATCACCTTGCTGGTTTTGCTTATTCTGAAAATTAGACTGATGTTGAAAATGAGCAGGTTGACTTTGAGAAACATTTGGTTGAAAACCTTGTCTTTGCTCTTTTACAACTGGTGGATTTAGACATGGATTGTTCCAGAGAAATTAGGATGGTTTTTCCAACTTGAGTTGTAGGTTTTTGAAAATTGGGCAGGTCTGTTGTGCACAAAATTCACAGATTCAGAGTTAAGGCTGCATTGGTCAAAAGTATGACCTTCACCATAATACACACATTGGACAGAGAAGGCTTCAAAAATACTGCAGTAGCAACAATATTAGCAGTAGGGACAACCTTTTCAACAAGCTGGTCATTGTTGTTAGCTGTGCTGTAAGAGCAGTATAAGAATCTATTTCATGAATACCTGCTGTCTTTCTGGGTACTATTGCTCTAGGATATGGCCAGTGACCATTGTTGTTAGAAATTTTCTCCAAAATATCAAAACCATCATTATATGTATTGTAAGTAAAGGTTCCACCTGCAGTAGCATCTAACATTTGTTTAGCAGTGATGTCAAGACCATTATAAAATGTTTCCAACTGAATGCAGTAGGGTAAGCCCTGATGTGGGCATTTCCTTAGTAATTCCTTGTACCTCTCCCAAGCATCAAGGATTGCTTCATCATCCATTTGTCTAAAAAGATAAATTTCATTTTTGAACTTGGCACTCCTGGTTGGGGAAAAATATTTCTTTAAAAACTTCTCAATCATCTCATTCCATGTGGTGACTGAGTCTGGTTGCAAAGAGTTGTACCATACTTTGGCTCTATCCCTTAACGAAAAAGGAAATAACTTCAGCCTTAACGCTTCACTATAAATTCCATTAAGATGGAAAGAGTCAGTGACTTCCATAAAAGATTTAAGATGCAAATTAGGATCTTCATATGGTAATCCAACATATTGACCATTTGTTTGTAACATGAGGAACATGATGGGTTTAAATTCAAAGTGGTCACCATCAATAGTGGGCTTACACATTCCAGGGTAATTGATTTAACATTGGAATAGTATAGTCCATGATGCCACAGTCCTTGAATTTGCAAGCCTAATAACCTCCTTATCAGGATTGAGTATTGGATCAGGTCCGACTTGAGCCATTTCAAGAGTAGTTAGAATAGACAACAAATTTCTTTGTACCCTTCTTTTCCTTTTAATGCTCGAGATAGACAGCGTAAGAGTTCTTGTTGTCCTGGAAGATGTCTTTGAGATGATACCAAGCTGTTTGGGCAGTAGAATCAAGCTCAAGAATAGTGTGCAGGAGATCCATAGAGATGGTGCCATAAATTCGTTGAAGCACGAAGGCATCCAGACCGTTCCATAAGCTTTCTTCGATGGTGGTGTCCCGGGGGGGATAAGGTGATCCAATACCTGATAAGCTCGAACATGGATTTTGAACAACTCGGCCTAAGATGCGTATTGCACCTTTTCGATCTCTAGGGTGATTGGGATGAACGTGCTTATGTTGGACACAATCAAAGCGAGGTGGAAGGGTGTTTTGGGTTGATCATCGGGAGACGTTTTGGGATCAGAGGTGGCGTCGTTGCAGGGCATGGATGGTGAATAGGGTAGTGAGAGTTATGAAAAAGAGAAGAAACAATTTCTAGGGGTTTTGAAAAATGGCTCTGATACCATATTATAATTTACACCATGATCTCTTCTCAATCATTCCAACTGTAGAAATAGTTACAAAGAAACGATATACATTAGTTAGAGATATACACTTATTCTAATTATCACTAATTACCAAACTTATCGAGTTACCAAACTTATCTGCTATTAAACTTATCTTTTGACAAAAGCATATAGTGTAGTTGTAGGATGGACATCTCATTAATACCCATAGGAATCTTAGAAACAAACTCTTGATATTTATAAAAAACGCAAAATCAATCAAGCACTTCAAATAGTTTAATACTTAAAGAGTAACAAAAGAACAAGAAAACAATAGAACTAACGACTCATTGCTAATAGTAAGAGTGACATAAGAGCATCTGCCTACCATGTTTGTCTTGAAAAATAGCAGTTATTGTCCTTGATTTGGTCGTACGACTTCTCAAGAACAGTTTGTATATCTGGTTTTTTGCTTAGAAACAAACTCCCCAAGAACCTCGGTTTTGTTTGTGAAGTCTCCCTTCTGATGCATATATATCTCCGTTAAATAGTTGTTGGCAGAAGATGTAGAGAGACGGTGATTATCAATGAAGGTCGGAGAGTGAGAGTCTAGTCAATGGAGAAGGAGGGAGAGATGGATTTTGCATTAACTTTTTTAATAAAAAATTAGATAAAATGCTAAAAATGATTCATTTAATTAGTGAATTAATTTGTTTAAAAATTATTGTCCTGAAAATTTTAATCATTTAAAATCAAAAAATTCATTTAGTTTGTTTGAATCTTTCTCTTGGACTAACGTAATTTATTTCTTCAGTTTTATAAAATCTAAAAACTTATTTGTTTAACAAATTATTTAAAAACTTAATCATTCAAAATCGAAAATTTTATTAGGCATTTTTCTAGATTTTTCAAAACTTTTAGAAACAATAGATTAATAGTCATTTTAATAATTTAAAAGTTCTATTTGATTAATTTTAAAAAGTTTAATGATTTATTTGTTCAAAAGAATTAGGAAAAACTTGAAAAAAGAACCCAACAAACTTTTCCTTTTTAAATGGTTTAGTCCCTAAACTATTTTTTTGATAAAAAATCATTAAAATTTCTCATTTTGAATGATTAAGTCTTTAAACTATTTTTTAAATGAAAAAAATCATTAAACTTTCTCTTTTTGAATGGAAAAACCATTAATTTTTTTGATTGATTAATTTTTAATAAATAAATAATCGCACTTTTAGAAATTGATTACCTATATTCTTTTAACTCAAAAAAGTTACATTAACTCACTACTAAAAGTCCGATAGTTTTTTCTTTTTATAAAAAAAATCAAGATCTTAATTATTTAAAATATAAAAGTTTAATAATTTTTTCATTTAAAAAAATAGTTCAAAGACTTAATCATACAAAATAAAAAAATAAAAAAAAATTAATTTAAAAAATAGTTTAAAAATTAAACCATTCAAAATAGAAAATTCTATTAGATTTTTCAGACTTTCTCCATACAAAAATATTCACAAACTTAATGGCTTAAATTAAAAATACTTTTTGAGTTTTTTCTTGGTCACAAACTTAAAAAGACTTTTTGAGTTTTTTTTTTCTTTTAACTTTAAAAACGTCGTTTTATCAATTATTTTTAAAATATAAAAAAAATTAAAATAACCATTTTTATCGATTGGTTTCACCTCTTAACCATATTTTTACAAAATTTACCACAATAACCTTAGGTTTGTAGTCTTAAGTTTTTTTTGTGGACCCTATATAAAAAATGTAACTTTTTTTTGCAAACCTGGATGAAAAATATAAATTTTTTACAAATAAAAATAAAAAATGTAAATTATTTTGTGGATCCGTAATTAAATACGCGGGTTCTTGTAAGTAAAACAACCCTTAAAAATTTGAATATTTTAATAAATTTCCATATAAAAAATCTATTTATGACCTTAATATTATTTCCTCAAAATGGAAGGTCCTGACACGTGAAATAGGGAGCAGTAAGGCGATTCCCATTTCAAATTAGAGGGGGTGAAACGCAGATCTTCTCCTGAAACGATTGACGATCACTTTCCAAGAACCCTAATATAAAACTATACGTTTTGAAATCTGCAATTCAGATCTGCATGTAAGTTTACTTATCTTTTGTTTTCTTATGCAACTGGGATTCATCTAAACTCGATTCACGCGTCATCCTTCTCTTGATGTATGCAGGTGTTTTTCTTTTTCTCATGCCGTAGTATTTTCTTTTTAACATTTCTGGTTTCGATTTCATCATATAACCATTTACTAAATGCAATGTCTAATCTTGAATTTGTATATCAATCTGTTTGGTCATTATTAGCCTTTCGTTTACATGTCAATGTATGTAAAATTTTATATTCGGGGTTACTAGTTTCAATTTATGGATCTGTGTAATTGCCAGTTTCAATGGACTGTCCATTGTCCAATTTAGCTGTTGAACTAACACAAATTTGACTCTGAGTTGCTATGAACTTGTAATGCATTGATACCGTGAGAAAGCAATAAATGACCCCAAGATTTTCTAAGAGAGCCAGATGTTCAAAAAGAAGGAAAAAGTAAAAGCAGGGAATGTTGTTGTCAATCCATCTGTTTTGGTATTATAAGAACTAATCCCTTTTCACTTTTCTCAAGATGTGTTATTGCCCTTTTGGGATTAAGATTTCAGATAGACTTGTCTGCATTATCAAGTATTCAAACTTTTTGGTTGCTCTACCTTCTTTGTAAATATGGTTATGTTATCCAGATGACATGAATATAGCAGTTATTACACATGGAATTCAATTTTGTTTGTCAATATCAGTTAGGAACTAGGATGGGTTCTCTGTATTTTTTTCTTTCCCCAAAACAGAGGTAGTCTAGTCATGCCAGATATGAACCATTGTGACGTAAATCATGTAACTGTATATCGCCTTGACTACGTGGGGATTTGTGATGTATGCAGGTAAAGAAGTATCGACATAATACTGTAGTCAAAGTGACAACACTGCTCCAACTATTTGGTTTTGGTCTCTGAATTTTTTTTCAAGTAATGGAGCACGAAAAGAAGAAGAGACAAAAGAAAAAGAAGAACAAGCAGGGGAAAGTCAACGAGAGTGTATCTGCTGGTGTTGGGGAACTGACTTCTGAAAATAACAATCATGTCAATGCGACTAAGCCGAATCATCAGAATCTGAACTTTGAAAATACAGATGTCCAGAACAAGGGTTTGCAGCAAAGGGTTGTTGATTCAGATGAACAGCCTATCAATGGAGCCGAAACTGTAAGTTTGTTTGTGGCCAAACTAGATTTTCCGCTTACCGAACCTTCTACTTTTTACTTCTCTCAGGGAAATGAGAGCAAGAAAGCATAACACCATAAACATTCTGAATCTAACACCGATAATGCCACAATGACTCTGACATTAACACCAAAAACACTCCAATACAGGATTTCATGTCCCAAATTTTCTTTTTCTTCTTTAGTTAGAATAGATTCTCTATGGTAGGGCAGAGAGTGAGATTTGAGCATTTGGCATTGGAATGCGCAGGTTTACATACCCTGATTTTATTTGAACTCTAGGATTAGATAAATGGGTGCACATGGTTTGTAAATAAAATACTTGGCAAGATGAATATAGTATGAGATTTCACTAGTGACAAGTTGGAAGCAACTGGTGGATTAACTATTTTAGGAGATAAAGATCAGCCTAAGCAGTCTTGATGTTATTGTATGTCGGAGATTGACCAAATATTTAGAAAGCTATATGAAATCCTTAGTATACTCGTTATGTGTTTTACAAGATCCGAATTCCTGTAATTAAGCTGGATATATCTGGAGTGGTTTGGCGAAAGGTGCTTGGTTCAGGTTTTTGGGTATATATGAACTGGAAAGGATGACTTCAATGCTAGTTGGTTATTTGCAAGAATTCTAATATTATGGTATACTTTCTGGAACTTCTAAAACATAATTTCATGGGTATAAACCAAAGGAAGAAACAATTCGAAGGCACTAAGTATTTGCAAGAGTTCTAATATCATGGTATAGTCTGCCAGTCATGTTGGGTCTTTAAAAATACAAATCTCCACAATGGTTGTCAATATAAAGCACCTTCAGGAGGAAATGGCATCATTTTTCCAACTTCAGAAAAAGGAAGGCTGCTTGTTACCAAAGTAGGCGTTTCTTTACATTGACCATGGGCAATAGAAATGCCACAATGCCATAGATTTCTCCCATTTTGACTTTTTCAAATCTCAATAGCGTTTTATCTCACTCTTTATTTAGCTACTATTATAATGCAGATATGCTAAACCTATTATTTAACAAGTTCTCTTGATAAACAGGTATGGGCAATGCTTCTGCTTCTTTGTGTTCATTGATAACATGGGTTACCTTATGTAAATTTTATAGCTTAACTATGTATATCTAAGGGCATTAAAATTTAAAACTTGGATCCCACTGGAGCTATGTTTGTTGTCAAAAAGTGGTTCTAGACTAGAATGGCATTGACTTCTATGTGTAAACCACCCGAGTTATGTTTGTAAGAGCTTATGTCTGTATTTGGATCCTATTGATGTAAACTGGTAACAATTGACAACTTGTATATTGAAATAGAAACAAAAAATGGTAGTTTCCATACTTTCGAGAGGTCTGGTTCTCTCCCTAAGAGTTTTCACTCAGTTTGAATTTACCATAACAGAATGCCTACCACTAACAACTCAACTCCACTTAAAGGAAACTCTCTCATGCGCCTTATTCCACCAAAGAGTACCAAAAATACCCTTCTCTTATTTACATTAACAACTAAGACCCTTTAACTATTTAGACCCTCCTCTTGTAAGTAAAACGAATAGGAGGCTTATCAATACCTCCCTCCAAAACTTTCACCTTGTCCTCAAGGTGATTGTTGGGAAACTTTTGAATCAAAGCTTCTAAATTTTCCCAAGTAGCTTCAAAATCTGATAACCCCTTCCATTTAACCAAAACTTCTAAGCTTCCTGGGTCACCTTGCACCATTGCTCTTGCATCTAACAGAGATTCAGGTTCCACTTGTAGTACCATTTCTTCAGTCAATTGAGCTGGAATGTCTTTCGAAGATGCACAATTTCCGACAACTTTTCGAAGTTGAGACACATGGAAAACAGGATGTGTCTTCGCCCCCTTTGGTAAATCTAAACGATAAGCGACTTTACCAATCTTCTCCAACACTTTATAAGGACCATAGAACCTTGCCAACAATTTTGGGCTGTTCCCTTTAACCAAAGATTTTTGTCGGTACGGTCTCAATTTCAAGAACACCCACTCACCCGAAACCAAGTCCAGTTTTGTTCTTTTCAAATCAGCACGTTGTTTCATTCTGCATTGAGCTTTCAAGAGATGATCTCACTTCATCCCAAATCTCATCCCGATTCATCAATTCGATATCAACCGATTGAACTATAGAAGAGAAACTCTTATATCTCAATAGCGGGGGTGGATCTCGGCCATATAACACTTTGAAAGGAGAACATTTAAGGGCTGTATGAAAAGCTGTATTGTATGACAATTCAGCCCATGGTAACCATCTACTCCACTGACGAGGTTGATCTGAAATCCAACATCTTAAGTATTGTTCCAGCCCCCTATTGACAACTTTTGTCTACCCATCCGTCTGCAGATGATGGGCTGTGCTGAACTTCGAAGTTGTCCCTTGCAGCTTGAAACATCTTTCCAAAATATACTTTGGAACACTTTATCACGATCAGAGATTATAGAACTTGGTATACCATGCAAGCGTACAATTTATTTGACAAAAATCTCTGCTACGAAATGTGCTGTAAATGGATGCTTCAATCCCACAAAGTGAGCGAACTTGCTGAACCTATCGACCACCACCGGAATAGAGTTCATTCCTCTTGAAGTAGGCAATCCCTCGATGAAATCCATCGAGCTATCGTTCCATACCGTACTCGGAAGTGATAATGGATTAATGGTTGTAGCAGACCCGACGGAGACCCACTTAACACTTTATTTATTTGGCACGTTTCACATTCTTTCACCATATTTGACACATCCTTTCTCATGCCTACCCAGAATAATTCCGCTGCCATTCTTTGATATGTTCTTTCCTCCCCAGTATGACCACCAATGGGAGACGCATGAAATTCTTCGAATAATAAGGAAATAATCTCCGATTTCCTAGGTACCACCAATCTGCCTTTAAAGAATAATAGATCTTGCTGCAACTCAAACCCTTTATGTGCACCTGCATCTTCCAATAAGTCTTCTTTTATTTTCATCAAGAACTCATCTTTTTCCAACTCTTTTTTAATATTTTCCCACTGCCTCCATGATGGTATACTTAAATTCGAACATTCCAAGCTTTCTTCCTTACGGGAGAGTGCATCAGCAGCCTTATTTGCACTCCCCTGTTTATACACAATCGAGAGATTGTATCCCATCAGCTTACTCATCCATTTATGATATTCCGGTTCCACCACACATTGTTCCAACAGGTATTTCAGACTCTGTTGGTCACTGCGAACTGTAAAGTGTCGTCCCAACAAATAAGGTCTCCATTTGTTAACTGCTAGAACAATATCCATAAGTCCCTTCTCATACGTCGACTTCTGTCGAGCTCTCGTCCCCAGCACCTGACTAAAACTAAAGTAAGCCACAGGTTGTTCGTTCTGCATCAGAACAGCCCCAAACCAAATCCCGAAGCTTCTGTCTCCACCACAAAATCTGACGAAAAATCAGGAAGTTTAAGCACCGGAGGTGAGGACAAACTCTCCTTTAACTTTTCAAAAGCCATTTGTGCCTCCTCGGTCCAACCAAATTGATTTTTCTTTAACAAATCCGTGAGAGGACTAGCTATAACTCCATATCCTCTAATGAACTTTCTGTAATACTCCCGACAATCCCAGAAAACCTCTTAATTCTGACACTGTACGAGGCACTTTCCAATCTAGTATTGCCTTAATTTTAGAATCATCAACCTTTACTCCTTTACTAGAAATGATGTGGCTTAAATACCCCAAACTCTCCCGACCGAATTCACATTTCTTCTTATTGGCATACAATTTATAATGAGACAACAAATCAAACACTTGTCTCAAATGGCCAAGATGCTCCTCCATTGATCGGCTGCAAACCAATATATCATAAAAAAACTAGCACAAATTTTCTCAAATAATTCTTGAAAACTTCATTCATCAGCCCTTGAAATGTAGAGGGTGCATTTACTAAACCAATGGGCATTACCTTGAATTCGTAGTGACCTTGGTGCGTCCGAAACGCCGTTTTTTGAATGTCTTCATCCTTAATACGAATCTGATGATATCCTGATTTTAAATCAAGCTTAGAAAACACTTGAGCAGTGAGCACCATGCAACTCATCCAACAACTCATCTATAACCGGTATAGGAAATTTATCTACTACGGTTGCCTTGTTTAAAGCTCTATAATCGATGCAAAATCTCCAACTGCCATCTTTTTTAACTAACAATATCGGACTTGAAAAAGGGCTGCTGCTCGGTCTTATAATTTATGCTTCTAGCATCTCCTTTACCAATTTTTCGATCTCGTCCTTTTGATAACGAGGATAGCGATAGGGCCTTACATTAACTGCATCTGTACCCTCTTTCAAAATAATCTCATGCTCCTTGCCTCTCATCGGTGGTGACCCCTTCGGCATATTAAACACATGATCAAATTCTTTCAAAACAGTTTGTACCGTTGGTAAAACTTCTTGGGACACTTCACTAATCAACATACAAGCCCCAAACTCCATTAACACGGCTTGACCTTCCTGTTGGATTAGTTTTCCCATAGTCTTCAATGAAACTAAAGATTTACCCAAAGCTGGATCACCTTTCAATGCCACCGACTTTCCTCCGACCGTGAACTTCATAACCTGCTGCTTCCGGTTGGTATAGGTTGCTCCCAACGTTTCCAACCACTGTATCCCCAAAATCACATCACTGTTACCCAATTGAATGGGCAAAAAATCATCGACAACGTCCAAACTTTGCACCGTCAAAATAACATGTCTACAAATTCTATCTCCCATCACCTTATTCCCCGTCCCCATCGTTATCGTATATTCCTTCGTTTTATCGACCTTGAGATTCAATTTTTCAACAATCTCTTTCGAAATGAAATTGTGCGTCGCACCGCCATCGATGAGGATTACAACCTTTTGGTCTTCAATGAATCCTTCCATTTTCATGGTTTTAGGATTCGTTAATCCCACCACCGAGTTAAGATGAACCTCCACTTCCTGACCCACCTCGACCACATCAGCTGCGTTTAACGCTGTATTTTCGTCATCATTGTCGCCCGATTCTATTACATCTTCTTCCTGAATCAACAGAACATTGAATTCCTTCTTCTTACACTTATGGCCCGGTGAATATTTCTCATCGCAGCGATAACAGAGGCCCAAGGCTCGCCTCTGTTGTACCTCCTGATCGGACAATCTTTTGTACTCAGATCCCGCTCTGTTTGTCGAATTAGCCATCGTATTTGAATTATTACCTGAATTAGTACTTCCAGAGATACTCCTATTACCAGCAAACATTGACAACGATTTCTCCGATCCAGAGATCGACCTCTCCTTCGCAATCACAACATTCTTCACTTCAATTTTCATTGCTAACTCCATCGCTTCCTCTAACGTTACTGGATTTAGGAGACGCACGCCTTGATTGAATTCTCCAAACCGTTTATGAATTGACTCATAAACACTTCCTCTGGAATTCCTTCTAACGGTGCAGCTAACTCTACGAATTTCATCTTAAATTCCTCCACCGTACCTTTTTGTTTAACGGCCAGAAACTGTTCGCACAGAGTTCCTGCCGCCGTCGATCGAAATTGACGCAAAATCAATCTCCGAAGATCCTCCCAATGCAAAATTGGATGACGTCTATTCTCCCATTGAAACCATTTCAGAGCTGCTCCTTCAAACGCTATGAAAGAAACATCAATTTTCTCTTCCTGTGATAATCGGTTCAGAGAGAAATAACGTTCTGCTCTGAGAACCCAACCATCGGGATCGCTTCCGTCAAACGCTGGAATTTCAAGTTTTCGGCCTTTCACAGCTAGGAATCGACTCGATTCCTGTTTGTCGTCGTTCCTCCTCTTCGACCTTTCTGAATCGTTCGCATCTTCACCATCTGATGAACCTGTCGAATTCAATTTACTAGCCACCTCGTTGCTTAATTTCTCAATTTGCTGTGCAATTCGTTCCAAACTTTTCTCGATTGAACCGACGCTGCTTTCTAAATCTTCAATTCTTGTTGCCGCACTCCTTGTCGCCATGGCTGGATCTTACTGCTCTGATACCAATTTGATGTAAACTGGTAACAATTGACAGCTTGTATATTGAAATAGAAACAGAAAATGGTAGGTTCCAGACTTTCAAGAGGTTTGGTTCTCTCCCTAATAGTTTTCACTCAGTTTGAATGTACCAAAACAGAATGCGTACCACTAACAACTCAACTCCACTTAAAGGAAACTCTCTCACGCGCTTTATTCCACCAAAGAGTACCAAAAATACCCTTCTCTTATTCACATTAACAACTAAGACCCTTTAACTATTTAGACCCTCCTCTTGTAAGTAAAACGAATAGGAGGCTTATCATCTAAGTTGGCCTGTCAGTTTCCATATTAGTTGATTAGTTGTGAAGCTTTTTACACTATAGGCTGTCAGTCTTATGGAGATGCTGGACATCAAAAGTGTCTTAATTAGTATGCTTTAAGTTTTTGAGCTGCCAGATGTTTCTTCAGAGCTAAGAGCTGTGAGATTAATTTGCTGGATGCTTTCTCTATGCTCATGCCATTGAACCCACATTTTAGTCAGAGAACTACAGTTACATGTGTCCACAGCAGCTAGAACAAATGTCTTTACGGTGAGTCGATTTGTTTCATCTTTATTTTAGTACCTGTGTGTGGGATTTACCGGGTTCGTTTGGTTTGGTTTGGTTTTTTTATTTTACACCTGGTTTTAGTTACCATATAAAATCTTGTTTTGGTTGAAAAAATTATGGTCTTCTTCTTTCATCCCTTCCTTTGTGGAACAAATACATTTATTTCTGGGATCTTCTCTGCCCCAAAGTTCAGTTAATTACCTTTTTAGTTATTTAGCGTGGACTTGGAGCATACGTGTATGACATTAAATTCTATGCATTCATTAGCATGCTTCTGAATCATGTGTTAGCAGCATTTTAACATATTCTGTCTTCCTAATCTCCTGTTTCAACTTGCTACCATTCAATTTACAGGCTTCCCTAGAACAAAAAATCGAAGAATTACATGAGCAACTGAACATGCACTTACAAAGGGAGGTAATAGTTTATTTATTTGTGAAACTGATATGATCATGCAGTAAGGTTCATATGCTTATTATTTTCTGCTACGCATTTGTCTTCATGGCTTCTATAGATGCCTGTAGGTATGACATTAAGCGGTCCCCAACTAGTTTGGGTTAAAGGTGCGGTTGAGTTGTGTTCTATCTGTGGTTAATTTGCTTTCAATATTTTATACCTTAACTGGCATGCATTATTTTCAACTTGCTCTACTTCTTTCTTATGATTTTTGTTGTTGAAGGCTGATCTTGAGAGAAATGTTTCACAATCACAGAAAGAAAGAAACTTATGGCATCTTAAAGAGGTGTAGCTATTGTGATATCAAAGTTTTTAGTTGTAAATTCCTAATGATTTTTATGTACATGCTTGATTATTTATAGCTATATCCTTTTTCATGGTGAAACTTGTGTTTTGATCATCAGGCTGATCTTGAGACAAGAATTTTACAATTACAAACTGAAAAAGATTCTTGGCTCCAGAAAGAGGTAGTTGAGATTAATAATTATATGCAATTTGTTTATCGGTTATATTTATTTCTAAAATAGAGATTTTGGAGATCTTTTTGCTTTTAACACGATTCTCTAAAATAAAGATAACAGGAGAGAGAAGGTTAAAATCTCCAAATTTGGGGAATTTTCTAAAATTTAACGCTAGGAAAGAGATGTTTTTTTAATTGTTTCCAACTAAAACAAAAGCCTTTAACTTGAAAGTTTGTTTAAAAGTTTGTTGGGATATTGAGTATTTTAAATTTTACTAATATAATTATTGTTGGAATCTCTAAAATAGAGAAGCTGTTGGAGTTTGTACGTAATTTTCTTTGAGATTTTGACTTTTGATTCTCTAAATTGGAAAATTTATATAGTATCTGTTGGAGATGCTCTCTTTTCATCATTACTTGTGTGTCTTTCTGGACTTTTGACATTTCAGGGTAACCTATAAAAATTTCTTTAATAATTGTGATTGACATCAGTGTTATGTGCAGGCTGGTTATGAGGGAAAATTAAATCAGTTGGTTGAAGAAGCATCCACTCTGCGTTCTACAGAGGTAGTGGTTATTCTGCTTTAGACTTTTAACACTTACGGTTACATGGTTCCTGAAGCTTGAAAACATCACTCTGTTTTAATTTCTTTTTCTGTTTGTTTTTTTGTTCTTTTCACTGCCACTTTCGTGTTTCCGCATTTCTTATCATAATAGTTCAAGGGATTGAACAAATAGAAAAATTTGAGTCTGAATTTCCCTTCCGTTGCAGAAGTCAGCAGCAGAAACAATTGCCTCTTTAAACAAGGATAATGCAAGATTACAAGCACAGGTACATAGTTCTACCTACACGATGAGCTATTTGAAATGTTCATCTGATGGTTAATATGAGTCAGGGGTTGAAATTATGTAATTAGTAATATGAGTCAAGGGTTAATATGGTTAATTTTTTGGTAACAGCAACCAAAAAGATAGGAAAAAAAGAACTAAAAAATATATTGAGATGTAGCAAAAAACCATTTTATGTCATTTTTAATGAAACCATATATTTTATACTTGATACATGTTTTATTTTATATTATGCTAATTATCTTGTTCACCTGCTTAAAAAATTTCTGGGTCTGCCTCATTATAAAGTTGTCACTTGAAGCTGTAAATATGCAAAAGCTGTTGCTGCATGGACCCTTGGTGTAAAGTTTAAGTGCATGCTACCCATAGACATGCTAAGAAATGTGCTTTATTTGTTCTGATATTGAAAATAAACCAAAGCCTTGCAGGTGATTGAGCTGGAAGCATCTCGAAATGATATTTCTCACCAAAACCGGCAACTAAAAGAACATGTATTTCATCTCCAGTCAAAGATTCAGGATCTCGAGAGTTCTGTGGCTGCCCATTTATCTTCTGAAAGGACAATGGTTTATTTGATTCTTATCATTTTTTATTTAAGCACATTTCAAAGGTGTTCAGAAATTCTTTATCCTCTATCCCATGTTTTGATTAGATGGACTAGAAAGCTTTTTACTAACCAGATTACCTTGTTTCCTTAGGCCCATTCTGTTATGAAGCCTGAGAAAAAATTTGATGATTTATCAATAATCATCAATATATTATGTGATTTGGTTTCATTTTTTAGCCTACCCCAACTGGGGCTGTGTCTTATGTCAATAAGTTAATTCTAAAAGCCTGAATTTTATGTAAAACTAATAAATGGATGCAATCACAGCCTACAGATATTTCTAGTAATCTGGGTTTTGTATCATGCTTAATTAATCCTTAATCACCTTTGGTCTTTGGCCTCCCACGAGGTCAGGGGTTCAAACCTCACCAAAGATGAGGAGGGTGTGTGAGTTTATTTGTTACTTTTGGCGTATATAAATATTATATACTTCAAAAAGAAAGAAAAAAAATATTCCTCTGGGGCACTTAGCTATGGACAGCAGCAATTATGGACTTATACTGACAATTTTGTTTTTGTTTGCTGGTGTAGCATGTTACCGAAAATGAAGACATGAAGTCACAGTTGGAATCTGCACAAGCACTTGTTGAGAAGTTGGTTTCTGAAAATGAAAAGCTTGTTGAGAAGGTAATTTACAATAATCAGTTGCACCATGTTAAACTCGGAGCCTTTAGTTTCTCAATCTAGAAAACGTTCTCTTTCTGTGTTTGCTATATGGTAGTCATTGTTCCTTCTACCTTTTTGCTTGTTATGGAAACAACCGCTCTACTCTTTGGGGAGAGGACAAGTCTGTGTACACCCCACCCCCCCCCCCCTCGTGGGGGGACCCTACTTTCAAGTGACATACTGGGTCAGTTTGGTTTGGTTTTTATATGGGAGTGGACAGATAAACTTTGGTCCAACTGCAACCAGTTGTGCATGCGTGGGGGTCAGGGTGCCATCACCATTCCATGACTCTGAAAAGGAAGGATGCCTGGGTTTTTCTTTTTACCTTAAATATAGAAGCATTTAGGGAACCTTCAAAGTACCAAGTCGTGGCACACCCCTCCCACAAGCACCGCGCGGCTCAGGGGGGACCAGAAACCAGAAAAGGTCTTTCGTTTCCCCCTTTCAATTGTGGTAGGAGTTTCCGCTATAAAGCAAGAGGCTTGGAAGCTCTCTTTTGGAAAATATTATATGATTCCATCCCCATGCTATTAGCAATATGTCCATCGACTTAATTTTGGATGGAGACGGTATCTAACTTTCTACTCCAGGCGCCACCCACCTGTCTCCTGAACACGCAATTTACCTCTCCCAGTGATGACCGTGGGCCGGTACCTTTTTGCAGAACTTCTACTCTAGTTTAGTAATTATAATGCAATGTAATTGCAGGTAAACAACTTAAATGCCAAGCTTGACCTAAAGACTGAAACAACCCAATCATACTTGCCTATCAAACCCGAGGAGGATTTAATAGTCAGAAATTCGAAAGCTGCTGCTTCTGGCATTGATGAAAGTGGGACAGATCCAATGCCATCATCATCAGCTGAAAATCTAGATGACATGGGTGGATCGGAATCAGATGAAGTTATGGAGTCGGAGGTGATTAGATTAAAGAGCAAGAATGTGGATTCGAATCTAAATCCAATTTCTTCTGGAGAAATTGTGCAAATCCCACTGGACGAGAAGGATCCCACATCAACAGCAGCTTCTGAGGTGGGTCTGACTGAGGCCCCGCTCATTGGTGCACCCTTCCGGTTGATATCATTCGTTGCCAGATACGTGAGTGGGGCCGACTTGGTTCAGAAGAACCAGGAGATATAAGTTCCATAATTTTATTTATATACACCAAGAAAAGAGAAGTGGGGTTTCATATATGTAGCAAAACAAGTAGGAGAGAGTTTTTTGTTATTTCCTTACTTAGATGATGAGATATAATAGTGAGAACAGATGAAGAAAATTGGACTTGTATTTGGATGAAGCACAATGGATACCATTTCTTTTCTTTGCTGCTGTGGATCCCTTTGAATAAAAAGTTTTTGCCCAAATTCATGTGAAGTTTATGTAAAAATTGAGATATTACAATATGGTAATACAACAGAATCATCCACCACAGTATGTTTCTGGGTGTTCACAATGGTCTTTTGGGTTCTAAGCATTTTCATGGTTGGGACTTGGGTCACAGGGAGGGAGTGCTTGGTTTGAAACACAATGTGTTGAACTAATGAAAAAGGGTATGTATTTATATCAACCGTTGATTAATAATGATTTTACGGTTTAGATTGATCTCACAGATCTCAAACCTGCTTGATTCTCTTGAGAATAGTAACTAAATAAGAGAATAAGAAAACGGTCAAATCACATGTCATTTTATTCTAAAATCACTATTGCACTTGATTTAACTGTTTCCATATTCTATTATTTTGTTACCATTCTCGTTTGAACCTCCCTCAGGTTCACAATTCAATATTAAACACAACTGCATAAAGATGGGTGCACGGTGCATTCCATTTTCTTGCAAACTTATTTTCCCAACTATTGGACAATGAAGAGAACAAACGGGAACACATGTAATTATCAAGTTTGATGTAAGAATAAAGGCATAAAAAATAACGAATTTTGTGTTAGATTTTTATTCCGTGTAACATACGTTTGAGTCTTCCTATTTCTTATTATTTTAACTATAACCGATTAAACAAGTTAGTTGTTACTGATGTAAGAACAAGTTAAATGTTGTCCCTTCGGAGACATCCGATAATATTGGAACGATACAAAGAACAAGTTAAATGTTTTCGTGGGTTTTCAAACGATTTTCAAACATAATACCTCTTATCATTTCTATGCATCTCCTGCCGGACGATATACGAATACTCCAACAAAAGAAACATCTCATCAGATGATGCTTGAACACTTCATTGCTTCATGAGGATATGCTTTCTTGTTGGAGGAGTCTTATACAGGGGCAGACCTACATACAAAACTCCGAGTGCATCGCTTACTGCTTAATCAACTCGTCACAGTAGAAAAAAAGTAGGAGCCTTAAAGGTGCACTCAATTTAAATTAATGTGTGCTCCTTTGAATTAACAAAAAGTGGTTGTAGCCTACTAGCAGTGTTATTAGATGTGGCATTACATGTCATGGTTCATATCTCTTTGCCTCTTTTTTTTTATAAATATTTTCAAATATCATTAGAAACGAAAAGAATAACCACTTTGATGTTACAAAAAAAACCCCTTATACAGTAGTATTTTAATTTACATTGTAGCCGATTTATTCAAAATCATTTGAAAACCCACAAACACATTTAACTAGTTTCTGAATCAACAATATTTATCTTGTTTTATCGGTTAAAATTAGTACGAAATAAGGAGATATCAAAGTTTGTGACGTTAATGAAGAAAATAGAAGGAACTAACACAAACTTAGTTCATAATGAGAATGCAAAAACCTCTAATACGATAAAACGTTCAATGAATCAAGAAAACAAGAGATTTAAAAGAGAAAAGAAATGTAACAGATGGTGGTGTAAATGTACAGTTTTATTTTAGTAATTTATTTACTCTTAACAACAATCTCACATGCTTCGACGTTTGCATGTCTTTCCATCTACTTTCTTGTCAATAACTGCAATCTGACCCATTGCACTATTAAACACGAAAAAAATCATATTATTTTAGAAAATTAAATCCAAATGTTGGTGCTGTAGACTTCCACGGATGCCTCTGGCATTAATTTTTGTTGTTTTCTTATTTTTACAATGTTTTCATTTGGCCCTTGTTATGATTGAATTTTAGTGTTAAATTATATTCGTTTTAAAAGGTTTATAATTGTATTTTTAGAGGGTTTGACTTTCTAAGTCTTTGTTGATTTCGACTAGAGCTTTTATTAGTTGACCTATAAATAGTTTTTGTCTTGTAGTGAGAATTGTGTTAGAGCTTAATTGTAATATACCTAAATTGAGAGATATAATACTTGTGTTGGCCAATTAACTTTTTCTCTCTAGACTTTCTCAAGTGTTCTTGGTGTTCTTAATGTTCTTGCCATTGTTCATGTTGATTATTGAAGACTGATCATATTGTGGGACACACAATCCTCCTATAGAATCATATATATATATATATATATATATATATATATATAGAAAGAGAGTTTGGTTCAAATGTTAACCAAGATTATTGAGTTAACTTTGTTAACCAAGCTCAACCAATGAAAATCAATCTTTTCTTTAGGTTCACATACATCTCATATGTTAATGACAAGGTAATTAAGTAATTTTATCATTTTGTGTAACTCCCATATCATTAATTGGGAGTTACAAAATCTAAAAATCCCATAATTGATGATGATTTAATATTGATCTTGTTTTTCAATTTGTGATTGTTTTTTAAATTTGATTTATCTATCTATAATGTTATTGAATTTGTGATTGTTAAAGGATTTCTGATAGTGAAGTTTTCGATATCGTCCAAGCTAATATGGATAAATCCATTGAAAAACAGATCGACAACAATGGGAATGAGAAGGTTAAAATGGTTTACGATGACAATCGGACTTCGAGTTCCAAAAGTGAAGAAAATGATCCAAGCGTTTGTATTGCTAATGGATTAATATGATATTGCATTCGTTTTAATCGACAGTTCTCACCTTTGACAGTTCTTGTTGATCCCAGATCTCTCAATAACACTAATAATCTAGTTAAGAATAACCAAATTATAGTGATTTAACGAAAAAAGTTATGAATACTCAAGAAGAAATTAAGAACAATTAAGAACAGTCTTGWGSTTCAAAGGTTTCACTCTTATTATAAGAACGTAAAGCTATTCAAGCGACTTCTTTTACAATAGGCCTAATCACCTATTTATACTAATYAGCTAATAAGAAGATAACTATCTAATGAGACATTTTAGCTAATCTTCTATTAACAGATAACGTTTATCTATTCTATGGATAAACTTTAATATTGGAGATAAACTAGAAATCTAGCTGTCGACATGTCATTTTCAGCTGTCATTCATGGTGTGATGAATCATCCTTATCTTTAGATCTTCATTGTATATTTTTGGATGATTTGCTGGAGAATTCTCTAAGTATCGATGACCAGAGGATCAATGAGGATGCTCTTTCCATCGCATCCCATGTCGTCCATCGATCCTCTGGTTGTACTCCAGACTTAGCTGTTTCTGCCTTGATGTCTTCATCGGTCTTCTGGTTCTTCATCACTTATTGTTTTTCATTACTTTTTAATTATGAGTTGTGGGGTTTAACAATCTCCCCTAAGTAATGAAATAACAAACATATACTAGTCTAAAGACATTTGTGATGAACAGAGACTAATCTAATAGAAAGACATCAATTTCCAAATTTTCATTGGATGATGAAATTCTTACAAATCTGGAATCAAAATACATCAAGGAAAAAAAAATTCGACTCATCACGAGCTACCTGAATATATTTCTCTGACGCGTAGGAGCAGTCTTCGATATGCGATGACTGTCGATATCTCGTGAATGAGTCGACTCCCTTCTTCTCTTGGCACATAGTGTCTGCCCAGTCTCTCTCGAATGACTTTCTGAAACCATTCAAGTGTATCTGATGAATACTTGAAGGCCTCAGTCAGTCTGAAGAACTTTTTAACCCCGAACTCATTTTTATAAACAAGTCCAAGTTCGGGTTGAGTCAGAACTGAGGCAGATCTTGTCTCCTGCAGGCTTTGGAAGTCTCCGTTGGGAGGAGTGCAGGAGAGCATTTCAATGCCTAGCCGAAGAGCTATTTCAAAATCGCTCTTAGCTTTGTGTTTCACCAAGGTTTCCATCATCTTTACCACCGCTTGGTTTGCCATTCCAAATCTGAGGCTGTGGTCTTGCCTCTGAGCCGTATATGCATATAATTCAATCAAGTCATATGGGTTGAGGTTGATGAGGTCGTTCTCGTTGAATACGTAAACTTGCCCATGCGCTCTCTCCACAGTGAACTCGATGTATCGGATGGCTCAGTTGGCAAAAGTCTTTATTTTCAAATCAATGACCCTCCTTATCCTATCATTCGAAAAGACATCCTGGGGTGCTTGAGTGGTCTGTCTAATGAATCTATGATGTAGGAGGTTCATGGACTCAGGCGATAAAATTGGAGGGTTGGTGGACAAACTGTCGTCGCGGTCTTGGTACAGATATTGATGAATATTTTCTAGCAGAATTGGTTCCCTAGGTGGCAATTTGGTACGTCTCTGCATTGACTCTATGCTTTGTATGATCTCGTCTACCAAGCTCTGCGGAGGTTGCCTCGATGAAGAGGGAGTATCCGCATGCACCATTGATGATTGGGTTGAGGTTTGTGTTTGGGTAGTGGGTTGTGTTTCGGTTGTGGGTTGTGTAGAGAGAATGGTTTCTTGTGTTGGCTCAGGTTCATTGGTTTGGGTTGGTTGGGGTTCATCGGGTTCGGCTTGGGTGGTTTCTGGTGCATGGGATTCGGTTGGGGTTTGTGGTTGTTGGGGTGATGAAGGTTGGTTTGTCATTGGTTCTGGTTGAGTGGAAAGGATGAAGAGTTGAGTGGTGCGAGGTGTTGGTGAAGGGGTTAAGGGTAGGTTTGATGTGGGTGTTGAAGGTTGGTTACTTTGTGTTAGTGGGGTTGTAGGTTCTTCACCGGTTGAAGAGCTCAACACGATGGGCTCTTGGGTTGCAGCAAAGGGAACATGTACTTGACGTACATCTTCAGAGGGCAGAGCCTCTGGTTCCCTTTCTTGGGTTTGTTCTGTTGGAGGTGGTGGTTGTGTTTGTGGTGATGGTGAAGATGATGGTGCAGCGGATTCGGTGTGATATGCAGCCGCCGCCTCTGTCTCCCCCTCACGAGGTCCAAGACCTTGATCATCGGGGTCTTGGTCTTGTGTCTTGGTCGCTTGTGTGGGCGGCTTCTTGAGCAAGAGGCTCTGGACCTCTTCTTCTTCTGTTCCTTCCTGAAGGTAGCAAGGTATGCCTTCAGGGAGGTCTGCCTTTGACTCGCCTCCATTGTTTGGAGGAGGGAAGTAGTACGCCGTTGTTCATCGGCC